TCTCTATCTCTCTCCCTTCCTCTCTGTAAAAAATCAATAAAATATATTTTTTAAAAAAGATATTTTTATTGATTTTAAATAAGAAGGGATTGAGCCTGCAACCTGGACATGTGCCCTTAGTGGGAATTGAACCATGACCTCCTAGTTCATAGGTCGATGCTCAACCACTGAGTCATTCTGGCTGGGCTTTTTGTTCTCTTTCTAATTCTTTTAGTTGTGGAGTTAGATTGTTTATTTGATTTTTTGTTTGTTTGTTTCTTCTGGTAGGCCTGGAATGCTATGAACTTCTCTCTCAGGGTTGCTTTTACTGTGTCCCATAGATTTGGGGTTGTTGTGTGTTCATTTTCATTTGTTTCCAGGAAGTTTTTTAGTTCCTCCGTGATCTCATTGGTAACCCATTCATTGTTTAATAGCATTCTATTTAGCCTCCATGTATTTGAATGTTTTTAGTTTTTTTATTGTAGTTGATGTTTAGTTTCATGCTATTGTGATCTGAGAAGATTATTGATATAATTTCAATCTTCTTAAACTTGTAAAGACATATTTGTGTTCTAATATGTGATCTATCTTTGAGAATGTTTCATGTGCACTTAAGAAGAATGTATATTCTGCTGCACTGGTATAAAATGTTCTGTAAATGTCAATTAAATCCATCTGATACAGTGTTTCATTTAAAGTCACTGTTTCCTTATTGATTTTTTGGTCTGGAAAACATATTAAGTGAAGTCAGCAAGGTGTTAATGTCCCCTACTATGACTGTATTGCTGTCAATCTCTCTCTTAAAGTCCTCTAGCAGTTGTTTAATATTTTTAGCTGCTCCTATATTGGGTGCATATACGTCTACCAGGGTTATATCCTCTTGTTGGATTGATCCCTTTCTATTATGTAGTGACCTTCATTGTCTCTTATGAAGTCTATTTTGAAGTCTATTTTGTAATATATCAGTATTGCTACCTCTACTTATTTGTTTTTCATTTCCATTTGCTTGGCTAATTCTTATAATTCTTTTCCATCCCTTCACTTTCAATCTTTATGAATCTTTTGTTCAGAGGTGGGTCTCTTATAGACAGTATATATATAGGTCATGTTTTCTTACCCATTAGCTAACCTATGTCTTTTGATTGGAGCATTTCATCCATTTATATTTAAGGTTATCATTGATAAGTATTTATTTATTGCCATTTTTACTTTTAT